GCAATGTCCCCAGGCAGGTATCTCCTGCCAGGGTCAGGCAGGAAGCCAAGCCCCCGTTGCCCACCTGATGGAGCATCCAGAGCTGGGTTCCTGACACCCACCCTCCTCTGGGGCAGAGCCCCCCACCCAAGTTGATGTCCTGGGGTGGGTTCTACCCTCCTGGTTGCCACCTGACTCTCTCCTAGGGCGAGAAGGGCAGCGTGGGTGACCTGGGCGAGCAAGGGGACGATGGCTTCAAGGTGTGTGAAGGGTTTTGCTCTTCTCCTCCCTCCCCTTGGTTCCTTGTCACCCTGTGTGACACCCGATGTGACACCCTGGCACATCTCCTAGGGCAAGCCAGGACCCCATGGCATCCCTGGGAGGCCAGGACCCAAGGGACAGCAGGTGAGGACATGGTGGAGGGGGGTGGCAGGAACTGACATGAGTATTTGGGGTGAATTCCTCATTTTTCCCAACAAAATCCACCTGGGTTGTAGAAGGACACAGGGCTGGGGGATGTCCCATGCAGTGTCCTGACCTCCTCTGGTGTCTTTGCAGGGTGTCACTGGCCCCCCCGGCCCACGGGGACACCCTGGCATCCCCGGGACACCGGTGAGTCCTTCACCCTCCCAGGCAGGTTTGGGGTTCACTCCTTGTCCTGGGGGGGTTACGTTGGGATGGGGCTTTGATCCCATCACCTGCCTCCCTCTTAATGGGATCCCATCCTTCTCTTCCAGGGATTGTCTGGACCCAAGGTACATGGTGGGGAGCTCCTGGAGCTCAGCCCTGCGTGGCCACCCTCCCCTCCTGCCCCTCCCTGGGGTACAGGGTGGCCCCATGGGGTGCAGCTCAGCTTAGACCAGCAGCATCTCAACACCTTCTTTGTCTTCCCTCCTCCATCTCCTCCTCCATCTCCTCACATCTCCTCCCATCATCTCCTCCCACCTCCTCCTTCTGCAGGGGCTGAAAGGCTTCCCAGGGCTGCCAGGACCCAGGGGCACACCGGGCACACCGGTAAGTGAAGCCACTTAAAGTCCCTTCTGCCAAAAATTGGGTCCTTTGCTCCCCAAATTCAGCAGCAAGGTCCCACTGTGCTGTGTGCCATGTCATGGGGATGGCCAGCTGCTGGGGCTGTTGGAGGAGCTGTGAGCGTGGCCAAGGGCTGGTGGGCAGCAGCCAGTGTCACCGGCATTGTCATTGTCACCCAGGGTCTCGCAGGTCCCCCTGGTCCCCGTGGACCCACGTTGATGCTGTCCAGGGAGGAGCTGCAGGTGAGTGCATGGGGGTGAGGGCTTCATCCCTGCTTTGGTGGGTGCCACCCATGGGAAAAAGGGGCTGACAGCAGTGTTGTCCCATGTCCTGCTGCTTCTGAGGTCCTGTGTGCACAAAGACCAAGGTCCTTGCATGAAGAGCAAGCAGATCATAGAATCAGAGAATTGTTTGGTTGGAGAAGACCTTTGAGATCATCGAGTCCAACCATACCTGTCCACTGCTAAACCACATCTCTGAGCACCTCATCTACCTGGCTTTTAAACACCTCCAGGGATGGGGACTCCACCACTGCCCTGCCCTTCCAATGCCTCAGAACCCTTTCAGCAAAGAAATTCTCCCTGACATCCAATCTGAAGATTGGATATGGATAAGATGTGGTTAATCCCTCTGCCACCACGCTTGTCCTTGTCCTCTGCATGTCCCATCCTCTCCTTGAGCACCTGATGATGCTCCTGGTCAAAATAAGAAGGGAGGTGGCTGACATCAGCTTGGTCATTGTCCCTTCTTTTGTCTTTTAGCACCTCATTTATCCCTCCAACCACCTGAATTACACCGCGGTCTGGGCTCTGCTGGACACCCTGAGCCAGGAGCTACAAGCTCTTGTTGAACATCCCAACGGCACCAAAACCAACCCAGCCACCACCTGCAAGGAGCTGCTGCTGGCTCACCCCAGCCTGCCCAATGGTACTGGGGTGCACATGTGGTCCCCCCATGTTCAGCCCTCCCTCCTGGGCAATGTGGGGGGACAGGCAATGAAGAGGGGATGAGGATTTGGGGGATGAGCTCAGCTGGGTTTGATGGACATCCCTAGAGAAATGAGATGGCAGCCAGGCTGTATCTCAGGAGGATGGAGGTTGCAGCCAGGGATGTTCCATGAGCTGAGGTGGGATGTACCAAAAGCTGAGGTGGGATGTGCCACGAGCTGAGGTGGGATGGCACCACGTGGCATCTTCCCTGTGCCAAAAACCAGGTGCCAAGAGCTCCCCTCTGCCTCCCTCCAGGGCAATACTACATTGACCCCAACCAGGGCAGCTACCAGGACGCACTGGTGGCCTTCTGCAACTTCACAGCTGGGGGTGAGACCTGCATAGCCCCCGTCCACAACCAGGTACACGGGGTGGCTTCCATGGGGCAGCTTCAGCCCTGTGTTACCCCTTGGGGTAAGTGAGGATGGAGGTTGGTGGGGCTGGAGAGGGACAGTGTGGCCAGTCCCTTGCCGTGGTGACCACTGCCATCGCAGGGAGGTGTTGGATCAGTTTGGGGTGAGGATCTTGGTCACAGTGTGTGACCAGGCTGCAGGGGCAGGTCACACACATGGGGAGGGAGGTAGAACTGGCTCCTTGTCCTGGTGGTGCTCCTGTCCCTGTTGGGACAGCATGCCATGGTCCCTGCAGGTCCCCATCAAGGCTTGGCTGAGCACCTACACCTCTGAGGACACCTTTGAGTGGTTCAGCACCCTGCCTGGGGGCTTCCTGGTGAGTGCCCAGCTGAAGGACAGCTGAGGGGATGTGAAGCCCATCTCATGGGGTTGAGGGTCTCCTAGTGCCTGTCCCGCTGTGGTGGGGCAGTGCCCAGGCACAGGGTCCTACTAGTTGTGCACAGTGGGATGTGACACCTTCTGCACTACAACCCAGACCAGTTCTTCAGCAGATGGCTGAATCCTGCCCAGTTTTCAACTGGGGGGAGCACAGGCCCCTCCAAGCAGCCCCTTGTATCTTGTTGTCCCTGCAGCTGGAGTACGGAGGGGCCAGCCCAGTGCAGCTCCGCTTCCTCCGCCTGCACAGCCGCCTGGCCACCCAGAAGGTCTCCTACTCCTGCAGACCATCCCTGGAGCAGGACCAGCCCCAGCTGGAGAAGGAAATCCTCTTCCTGGCTGACTCCCGGGAGCAGAGCTATGCAGCCAGCCTGCGAGGCTGCGTGGTGAGCCTGGCCACGGCCAGACCCTCTTCTATGTCTGGAAGAGACCCCCAATATTTGCAGAGCCCCCCCCAGCACGTGTTTGTACCTCCAGGGTTTGGGGTAGACCTGGTGGATGGGGCTTCACACAGAGGGATGGGGATGGAGATGGGAATGGAGATGGAGATGAGGATGGAGACGGGGATGGGGATGGGGGTGAGGATGGGGATGGAGATGGGGATGGAAATGGAGATGGGGATGGAGATGGGGATGGAAATCAGGATGGAGATGGAGATGGGGATGGAGATGGGGAAGGAGCCCAAGGAGCTGGGCCCAAGGAGCTGCCCCAGTCCTTGGGGAGCAGGCTGGAATGTGGCAGGGGATGGGATGGGCTCTGAAGGACATGGAGGGGGCCACCTCCCTGGAGAAGACATGAAGGGCTTGGGGATGGAGACCTGGCCATGCCTGCAGGGCTGTTGGGTGCACCAAGGAGACAGTGGGTGCTCCAGGGATCCTTCAGGCCCCCCAGCCAAGGGTTTTGGTGCCACTCAGCTGCCCCCGGTGCTCATTTCAGCTGGACAACGAGTCCTCCATCACCGACACCATCTTCCAGTTCACCACGGAGGAGCTCTCCCTGCTGCCCCTGCGGGACCTGGCCGTCTTTCACAACGGTGACACCTCCCACCAGTTTGGTTTCACAGTAGGACCAGTTTGCTTCAGCTGAAACCAGTGCAACCCAAACTGAGC